AAATTAAGATATGTCGTATCATCAATTAATTTCATGTAGGACCTATCTACTTTATTTCTAATTTATTTCTAAATAAAGCACATTTATAGAGCAGACGCAATGCTGTACTCCAAGGAACTCTTATTTATATTATACAGATTACGTGCATAAAGACATCTCACTGTATTATAATGTAGTACAAATAAATGAAAGGATAAATAAATTAGATAACATACAGAAAACTCAACGCTTGCATCCCATTGACCCAGTCATTTTAATACTAGACGATAGTTCAAATAAAACAATAAATTGTGCCATCAACTATGTATTGTTACCGCAAAACTGTTAACGCATTCATGTCACAGGAAAGCTTAAATATATTACACATTATGCAGAACTTCTATGAAATAACGCTGGTAGTTCAAACGTTTATATTTAATTCGTGTGGCGAGACAGTTCAATAAAACACAGAATTGATTTCAAACAACGCTGGCGTATTATTTTGGCATCACAAACGCTTGTATTTAAACATGTATTCAGTCTGTATATCAGCCAACGGCAGATGAATCCTGATGATGAAGGCACCTCTGAAACGTAGATAAAATTCTGTCATACTATATGCTATATGGCGCAACAATCCTGAAGACAGCCATCTTATTCTCTCGTAGATCCCAAGTTACTCAGTGCACCCCTCAAGTCGTTAATGTCGTGCGGCAATCAGTGAATTCACAATTCCGAATATATGTAAAGGTAAAGGAGGATCAATCTTCACTCTCCCACTAACCCGACCTCTGCCAAATAATTTCATTGGTTACGTTAAAGTTTACAAATTGGATTTTTCAAACGTCGCGTCGCTACAATCGTCAACTTGAAAACTTATCTGACGCTGCAGTCACAGATACATGAGATACACTGCAGCGCATGTGGCTACAACTGGATTACATCTGACATGCGAATAACACGCGCAAGAAGATTTCACTCATATTTACAAGTCAACATTTCTTTTGTTGTTATGGCTCATGGAGTCCAATACAGATTGAAATTTTAAATACCGGCATTAAAGCAACAGAAACGCTATGTAAGGGCCACCACGGTTTTCCTGCCGCACCGGCAAAACTACCGCAACCGCATATTCTTGTTGCCTGTGCACACGGATGATTAAATAAACTCATTGTCTGCGTTTTCTTTTCAGTTGTGAGCTGGATTCTGTGGAGAGAGTTGGCGTGCGCTCTAGGGTAATAAGTCGAGGTATGGATTTTGTTGAGACTGTCGCTATGTGCGCTTTTTGTTAAGAGCAAGGGCAAAGCGTACAAATAACTTTTTGCTCCCTCCACTTTTAAGATTATTGAAAACTTAATTTCACAAGTTATATGACGACTTGCGTATGTAACCAATGAAATGATTCAGATACTTTCTTTTTTTGTCAAGTTGGCTCGAGTTCGGCAGTAGAGCTTCGCAGAATTCTATCCAGTATTTCTCTTTATTTTTTGTCACTGTATTCCGATATTTCCGAACTGTACAGTGCCTGCCTTTTCTCCTATTCAGTTACACCAATGTCGGGCAAAAATGGTCGCCGTGCGGCTGTTTCTCCGCTTTTGCGCGCCCACAGGCAGGATTCTTCGTGTTCTATTGCCACCGCCAGCCGTTGTGCGGCCGCCGCACCGCATCGAAAATGAAGCATGTTGCGGTAGAAAAACCGCAGCTGTAAAACTACCGCACGTGCGCTCGCTTCCTACTGAAACAGTGCGTTCCATCAATGCGGCAGAAAAACCGCTGCGGCCCAAACCGCTCGTACACGCAGGGTCCAAAGAAGCGAAACTATGAAGCTGATGCTGCTTGTATCTGTGATCTTTCTCACTTCATCTCTACCTCGCCTGAAAGAGACGATGTTTGACGACGATCCCGCATCAATGTAACATAGGGACAATAATTACTTGACTCCTCTCCCACGCTCTCGAGATGATAGACGCTCATCTCCATTAAGATGACAAGTCCCTTTCTTTCTTGTTCTACACCCCCTACCCTTTGACTTGTAAATGAGAACCTCCGTTTCGCTTTCTATGTAAAATAGGAAACAAAAGTATCTATCCTTTTCTCTTGCTGATGATGTCTGAGAGGATGATGATGATAAGATGGCAGCGCTGCCACAGCACAAAACGTACACAGGCTGTGTCACTCAACCTGGATTAATATGTTTTAAGGTTATATGTCCGTAAACCGTATTTGCATTTCAGAACTTTTCCTATTCCTTTTCATCACGATTCATTATCCGGACCTTTCCAGTAATGAGAAGCACTACGACATTGTTACATTCAGCATCAATAACAACACGTTGTCGATGAATTTGCTTATTATCGGAATTCATTAATTCAGAGAAGCAAATACAACAACGTAACAAAACCACTGAAGTAATAATTTATGTTTAAAAGTAACATAACATAGCTAGTTCGGCTCCTTCGAATGACCTCTGTTTACTCCAATGCACAGGGTCTGACTTAAAAGGCGACAGCCACTCAGCTGTCAAGATATTTGTTCGAACTCGCAAAACAAACTATGGGACCAATGCTGAGGCACATGAATTCAGCTCACACTCTTACATCATATGTGTCTAAGATCTACTTTAATAATATCCCCCCATCTCATCCTATTTTTTCCAAAGGATCTTTTACCCGAGGTACCTCAGCAAATCGTTGTATGCACTTCTCATTTCTTCCATTCTTGCTACATACCTCTCCTCACCCTTCGGAATTTAATCACTATATATTTACTACATGAGAACTAAGCTATTTTATTCCTCATTAAACAAGTTTCTCTAATCAGAAACTCCTTTAATTTTCATAAGCCTAATTACAAGTTTCAACATTTTGTTTTAAAAACAATTCGAACTGTGCAATTTCCTTAAACGAGGGACTGGGTTCAATACCAAACTGATGCAATTACTGTTTTATACATTTAATCTCCGATTGTTACAGCATGCGGGAAGATAAAAGGGTACTCAAACATCTCCAGAATTTCCAATCTGTTCTCAATTTCATCGCAAGTCTAATTGGTATTACGACTTCAGATGTTCGTTCCCAAGTAGGCCTTCTTGAACTTAGTCATATTTTCAAACAAACAAGTAACAATTCTTATAAGCCTATAATTCTTTGTCCTAGATTTCGATTATGAAACACGGAAATTTTGTCTTCATTTACAGATCAACATCCATGAGTTCTGTGTTCTTTGTTGAATTCACGTTTCACCTAATAAATTTATATGTACACAGATTGAATAAATGCTTAATAAGTTCAGAGAATACGCGCAAAAATAAATTATTTCCTAGCCTTATTATTCAAATGATCCAACTACGACTATAATAAATATTATTGCGCGTGGTTTTTTAAGCAAGATCAGCAACATTTGTAGTGCTTTTCAAACATATTCTCCAATAAAATTTTCGACATAGAGCATATTTGTGTTTCGCTATAATGTACAAACGCCATCAGCTTATGAGTACCTTATTTAAACAATTTAATTTCAGCTCTTCCCGACTCTGATGGATTTTTCTGAAGTAATATATCAAAAAAGACTTGGGAAGGATAAAGCATAGTTTTGTTTTAATCCCATGAGAAATGAAAGTGTATTATAATAATGTTAATCTGTCATATTGTCTTGAACATAAACATTTTAATTAATCTAGCAAGCTTCTGTGGTTTTCCATGCGATACTCTTCTAATTAGATTTTCTGATGTGGGAAAACCTGATCGTAACGAAATCACTACGGAGATTAATATTTATCAGCGAGGATTCCGTTTCCCATGTTCTTAGCTCAGTCTGTAAAGAGGTTGACTACTAGCTGAAAGACCAGGGTTCGATTTCCGGCAGGGGCAGGGAGATGCAAACACGATCACACTGGCCCTAGGGTCCGCCAGCCCCCCGTCCTCCCTGTGGGTACAACGGCTAGCCCCAACATGTAGTAACGCGACATGACAGCCTTTGCCATAGGTGACACGTTAGTCGACGACTTCTCACCTCGGAGGCCTGGTTTCGCTCCCAGGGCAATCCGTGCGGAATCTGGCAGATAAAGTGTCATTTAGACAGGTTTCGCTACAAGTCCTTCGGTCTCCCCCCGTCAGTATCATTCCACTAACGCTCCTCATTCACTCATTTATCATCTGGGGAACAGACAAAGGGCCTGTTACAGACCGTAGTTCCACAAGGACACAGTCTCATCCTACCGTAACATTAATCATCTCCATTTAGTGCCGTGGTTAAGAATGCGTGGAACCTTACATCCCCTGCCAAACACGTCCTCATGGCGTGGTGCTTAAGCAGAGGGACAAATTTACATCCAGTGTTTCCGGAACTAGTATTATATACTGATAAAGTACAGTACAGACCGACCCATTCATTTATGGTCGAAGTCACTAGTAAGAAATTACTGCTCCGTATAGTAGCTACAAGAAAGCACGTAAATCAACGAACACGTTGAAGAAAATGTTAAATTGATATCAGACAATATCATTTACTGTAATAATTAAATCTATCAATACAACCATCTCCCGAAGCCAGGAACAAGCCCGCCTCCCGAAACATCGTGTATTATGTTAGATACCTCAAACATTGGGCAACATCAACATAACATCGGTATACTTCTTTAAAATCCATCGAGTACTACAGGAGATGGAACATGGCTACGGGCAGACACGACCTCCCCATTGTCTTTAAGTTTATGTACGCATCCACAGGACTATACAAGGACCTCTCAACTTTCATAACATACACAGAGTGTCCCAAAAAGATGTATACAAACATTCAATGAATGGAATAAAGGCATTTTAATGAACTAAATAAATACATACGTCAGCATTGACACTCTCAATCAACGAATCTAGTGTAGCTGTTCAAATAGACCACCGCCAGGTTCCCTTTGTTAACACGACACACGGAGATCGATAACAAGGTTAATATTCCATATTATAATGTTTATAAATCGTTTTTTAATATTCTGTGAAAGAGCAGAGCACGGCAATGTGACTTACAGTAATGGTGACGTTCTTGTAGGTGACGATGAGGTGTGGAGGCACACTGTCGAGTCTGCAGCCACGAAACAGCGGGTGGTAGCGTCCCCCTTCTGGAAGAATAGATCGAATGCGTGTTACTGACGCCATGCAAGGAATGAAGGTAAAATTCCACACGTTCTGAAACTTCGTGGAATACTAGGCGGACAAGAATGGTCAGTTTTAGATCTTCAAGTCTGTGGCAACAGTCTCCTGGTGTACATACGATACAGCCGCAAGATACCGTGAATTCCAGGCCAGTTCTGGACGTGATGCTGCAAATAAATACTCCAAATTTGAGACACACATCTTCCAAATGCAGCCTACAATTCTCTGTATCTCATCCCCCCATACATTTATTTGTAGCTTATAAAAATATATTATGGCAGATACAATTCTATTTTCGCGAAACCAACTTACAAAAATGAACTTCAATATTCAGCGATTAGTGAATGCCTACTTATGAAAATTAATTCCGGTTCTGCCAGGGAGCAACATGTAAACTGCCTTACTGTAAAGCTATTCGCATTGTAGAAGACAGTCTATGCCCGGATTTCATAATCAGGTCTTCGAAACCGAATAGTGTTAATCATTTGAAACTTAATTCAATTCAATTTCTTATTATTAGTGTGATCCATAAGACCGATTACAGATAGAGCACAAGATAAAAACACAAAATAACACCAAAAACAGATTATTAAGAAATCTCATGAGTGTAGAGGAATTTAATACACAAAGGAAACTTGTAGCTGAATATAATAATAATTTAATTAAATTAAGTTACGTTAAAAGGCAAAGGAAACATGAAAACAAATACAAGCAAACAAGGTATTAAACCAGAGAATTTACATAATTTGGATGATAACACGTGGTTAGTTAATGGTTTTATGGAGGAGGTGAGAAAGGAGAAATGTACACGAATTTATACTAAATGTGATTAATATCTAATATGTGGATAGAACCACAGTTATTACAGATTATGATTAGAGGAAAAACTTTTTGTTTCAAATACATCAAGACCTCTGCAGACATTAACGGCTGATACGCATCTAGCAAGACAGTTTTTAATTGAAAGGCTGTAACTGAAAATAGAAAAGTGTCTGATACCGATTAGTAATTCTAAGACCGTCAGCTTCTAGGAGGGAGGGGCAGTATGTCAGACCACGGTAAGCTCGGATAAGGAACAGTGCATCAATGCAATACATCCTCTTACGTAAGGTTTGGGGTTTCAAATACTGCAAAACGTTGCCACAACTGTAATGGACAGGGGGAGGACACGATAATAGCAATTGGTTTCAAACTTCTGCTGAATGCGTTCCAGTTTGTTGGCACCAGTAGTCGTAATAGAATTCCACGGGTCAGAGGCGTATTCAGACTTAGATCTAACAAATGTAAAATATAAATATACAGGCAGTCATGAGAAGAGAATGAAAAAGTTAAAATGCAAACATGGCACAACAATTTAATACAATACTTATTTAAGTAGTCAGCTTGATTGTGAAATCAAAGTTTAGAAATATTAAATACTCCCAGTCTTTAATACAGTCGGTACGAGTTACAGACGACTGACAAAGTTACAATCGTATATCAACGTATTAGTTTTTCTTGAACTTCGGTTTTTACTAATATTGTATTTCATAAAGTTACTGGTGCACTAACCTTGTTCAAAATCAATGTCAGATTGAAATCGATTACTGTCGTTAAGAGATTTAATGAGACGGGGGATTTTTTTATGTATCACTAGTAAAAAGAAGGTACCTAGAGTATATAATTACACAAGTCATCACAAATTAGTTGAAAGGCAGAGATTCCAAAATATGTCCTTGTGGAGCATCAGAGAGAAACATAGAAGGCGTCGAAAGAATCTCAGAAACATGGACCTGAGATTGTTTGTTGGTTACGTAACTATAAAACTAGTTCACATAACCATCAAAAAGTTAAAAATTGCCGAGCTCTTGAAGTAGCAGGACATAAGGACAATGTCAAAAGCAATGCTAAGGTCAAAATTAATGGCATAAGCTTGATCCTGGGAGCGGACTAGTGGGGTAATAAATCTAGGTAAGTTTCCGAACTGGTTATGGTTGAGACTTGGGACAAAAACAAATGTAGTTTCGTTTGTGTCCAAACATCAGCCAAGTTCCAAACCTGAATAAGGTAAAGCGCGGTCGGGGCGTGCTTCTGACCACTAACCACCTTCTAGTGCCGAGACTGAGAATGAGTAGGAGCTATACCTCCGCTCCCCTTAGTGCCAACACTGGCTTTCTTAGCCCAAGTCTTCCAGACAGTCTCTTACCTTCAGAGTTTGCGATTATAGTTGTCTTAAAAACACATTTTTGAGAAAGATTGGTAAATCCGTATTTTCTTATAAAGGAATACAGTGAGCTTTTAGTAGCTGTGGCACTCACCTTCCTGGTTCTGACAGAGGGGCCCGACCCAGTTGCCGCCGATACATTTGATCTTGCATAGCCGCTTCTCTCCGAGGGGGCCGATCTGTCCCGAAAACTTCACTTCCATGATTTCCGTGCTATAATCGGAGCGGTGCTGATCCGCGACTGTTCGGGGCAAGACAGAGCCGTTCAGCACCATGTCAGGTGGTGCGCAGCCAGGACCAGACCATTCCGCTAGAAAACAGACCCAAGTCGCTTTTTCAACTCATTACAGTCATGTCACAAACAAAAGCGAACAATTTAGTTTGCAATTTTATTTTATATGAGCACGTTGCCAAGGCCAGTCAACACTACTCTAGTAGTCAAACAAGAAGGCGGGTGACGGTTTCTTCGGCCGAGAGATGGAGCTACAAGCCTGCAACGTTGTCAGACCATGCGCCTGAACTTGACATTATACCGACGCCATACGCCGTCTGTAGGTCCAACATTCTCCGCCTCCTGCTTCAAACAATCAGGCCTACACACTTTACAATATTTCGTCTCTGGATACTCTCTATACATTCTAGTGCTTGTGTTCTTTATCTTCCATTTTCAAGAACACAGTAAAATTTCACAAACATCAAACAACCACCTGAATCACTTCATATTCATTAGAATTATACGAAGTCGTAACAGTCATAATACCAGTAGCAAAAGCTGACTGACGCCTACCGTCTTAACTTTCGCCAAGTGACAACCCTTGCTACTGCGTAACTAACACCCACCCTCCATCCTCCTTCAGTCCTAGAACAGCCGTATTACAGTCACAAACGATGTAACTAACAACATTAATCAACATTATGTGTACCTCTTAGAGTGTTGTGATTTCTCTCGAACACCAAAACATTTCTGAACTAAACGTGTCCATATATGCAACAAAACAAGTTTGTAAACTCTTCAGTGATTTTGATATTGTACCACCAATCATTTATCAAGTTGATTTCGTCATATGAATTCTACACAGAGAGAAGACTAAAACAGAGTAAAATATTGATACACAGCGCATCTGTAAATACAGGATTTCCGTAAATAAATACTGATAATTGAAATTTAAATAGGTCTATGTATTGAACATGATAAAACAATGTAACCAAATAATTTGAAACTTATAAATAACAGTAACAACGATCATTCTAAGTACAACATTTTATTCTGAGCTTCATTTGTAGCTTGGAATAAATCCAACCTGAAATTTTGCAGTTGCCATACGTATTTTCAACTAACAAATATATTTAAGATAAAACTGATGGCCTATGTGATATTGTTACATTACATAAAATTACATCAGTTATTGTCATAAAACTGCACATTATTTCAAAATTAGTTTATATTTATATCGCCTGTAGAAACATTTATTTGATCAAACCTTGTATACGTTAAGAAACTTCACATTCGTCCCACATAAAACTACAACGGTTGTCAAAGTCAACAGTTGTCGTTTTATAATACTGGAGATACATTCAATTGCGAGAAAAAGAGTCGGCCATGTCAAAAATTATAAGGCATAAGGCTACAGCGGTCCAGTAAGGCGTGTGGGCCACTACGCCTTCCTCAGAGCTGGACAAATAAAACACTGAGTGGCGACTCTAATCCAGCTGCTCGCTCTCTGCCAGAAACATTTCCAATACATCGGAGATGTCGAACGCAAAATCGATAACTGAATCTCTAGCACAACATATCTGCACCTTCCACGTGAAAGTGGCTTGATTCAACTCAGCGCAGTTCATACATTTTTTACACTCACTACCGCTAACCTACAGAGTACATACAAATTGAGTATCAACAATCTTCTTTGAATGGATTTTTAGTGACGTTCTTCCAGTATATACGTCAGATGAGATGGGAAAATGTTAATGAATGATAAAAACGAGGTCATACTGCCTCCGTCATCAGGACGATTCTCTGGTCTAATCTGCAAGATACAGACGTTTCAGAGCAGCGAATTGCCTCCATCATGACAGCGACAAAGTCATTCTGATGATGCAGGCAGTGAGTCCCTTCAATATACATTGTACATGTACATACCGGAAGTTTTAAATATACGAAATAGTGGATCTGTAAATGTCATTATGTGCTTCAGCTTTCACTTACAGCCAATTTTAATTCGATAGAAGACCGACATAAAATGAAGTGTAAGCAAAAGCCGTCCATAGGAAGAATGTTCCTTGAAGTCGTTGGATCCATCGTCACATATTACTGTTCTGACAACAATAAAATATAATTATTTCCAAGTAGTGTATTTGTTTTTCCACACAGCGTGCTGTGCGTCCCTGTGAGGATTGTCACACGCCCTCTATTCTCCGTTGTAGTTCTGCTACATCATTAAAAGTGGCTCTATTTCAGTTGATTTTACAAGCCACTGCTCAAAAACGAAGCATCCGAGGACCCATTTTACATGGACATTTCTAGCTGTGCAAAGCACACGTCCCAAACTGATGCCGTACATTTCAGAAAATCCTGCACACATAACGCACAGTTAATGTTATCCCTGGTGCCTTTTATGTATGGGAGAGCTGAGGTATATCTCCACGTATTCTTAACTTCGGTGCTAGTGGGAGGTAAGCCGTCGGCTTCAAGCCCCGGCCGCGTTACTCCCAAAGGAATAAATCCCAATTCGCACTAGTCAGAAGGCTGGGTGGGTACCAGAGCAGGTCTGGCAGTTATGGTAAAGAGAAAACCCTGTCCTGGTGAGAACAGAACCCCGGTCGTCCAGCGGGTGGCCTAGTCACTAAATATATATATTCGTGTCTCTGTCTCGGCGCAACTTCTCAACATTAAAGAAGACCGCTTCATGTTTTAAAAAGTTCTGCTCCATCCACTACAAATATGTCAGCGTGTCTGTCACGATGTGTGTATATTGACATCCAGGTGTTTAGCAATTCAGGGCGTTTGTGAACACTTCGGAGAATTTTTGAACATAAGAGAGGTGAAGTGAGAGGAAACGTGAAAACTGCGTAATATGGAGCTCCGTAATTTGTACTCATCACCAAATATTATGACAATAAAAGCAAGGAGAACAAGATTGGCGGGGCATATAGCGCACATGGGGGAGATGATAGATGGGTACAAAGTGTTGGTTCGAAGCCTGAAGGGAAAGAATCAGTCGGAATACTAAACGTGGGTGGCAGGATAATATTAAAATGGATCTTAGGAAAATTATTTTGAAGGCTGTGGTTTGGATCCGTTTGGGTCAGGACAGGGGCGGGCTGTTATGAGCATGACAATGAAGGTTTGGGTTCCACAAAGGTGGCGAAATTCTTAACTGGGTTTTCAAGGACTTGGAATCTGTTAAGATGACTAAGGACAGACGCATGTTGTTAAGTGCACTTACAACAACCACAACACAGCCGCGCCGCCTCGCGCCGCTTTACCGCATACCTTAATTCTCATAAAATCGAAAGAAGGAAAGTCTCAACATTTTCTTTCACATCCGTCAATAGCTCCATGTCACAGACAGCATACGAGGTCTGTTCAAAATGTATCGGACCTTAATTTTTACCACGGAAACAAATGAAGCACGGTAGATGTCCTCCGGTGGGGAGTGTAGGGGACCTACATGTGCATGCGTGAAATTTTTTCCCGCCCGCAGAGAGCGTCAGTCGTTGGCAGTGAACGCCCGTCGGATTTTCATTTTTCCCGTCTGTCAAGAGATCATTTGTCGTTATTAAACCAACAAATACTGTCCATAAAACAATACCTACTGAATTTTAGACCTTGTCACTTTGGCAACGAACTGCCATTCTTTAAACAACATGAACATTAGACCATGTTCTTAAAGCGGAAATCCAACTCCAGAGGGAACTGCTTGAACGAATAAAAGAGATGTAAGATACAACCACGTCCATGCGTCGGTGAATTTGCTTATCTGCCTAACTTCCGAAACTGACAGATTTTCATTAAACTTCATACACATATTATGGCATTACAGAAGCCCAATATTTACTTCACGCTTCATTTCCTACTATCAACGACACGTACACAGAGACAGTAAAAGCTTCTGAGACAAAAGGTGCATTTGCGTCCTTATCAGGCCATTTATTTTCCAGAAGATGAAATAAAAGTATTTTGGTACCGGAGAATAATCTGTGCTTAGTGTTCTACTAGAGAACAGTAAACAAGTGACGAATTGGGGCCGAGTTTTATGACATGAACATAACCAGTTCTACACATATTTTACCGAAAGTAACGGCTGAGTGGTTAAAACTCCTACGTTATATTCGGTACGTACCGGGTTCAAAAATCTATCCGGAGATAGGCTTTCATGACAGGTTTTTCGTGGTTTACTCCAGTCCCTTCAGGCAAATGCCCGAACAGTACATTACATTACATTACGTAATGACAGCTTGCTGTTGTATTATTCTCGATTCGTAAACCATTAATCATTATATCATTCGACGCTACCTATTGACAGAGTTGTTAAATATATTATAAATAAATAAAAATACGAACTTTGAACCACAGAGTCAGATAGACAGTTAAACTAGCCGAGGTAGTCAGTCTGAAAATTGCTTGCTGCAGGCAGTGCCGGACTTAAGCTGATTAAGCTACGCCTTAGAGCCTCGCGAAATGAGGGGCCTAAAAATACGTAGATTTATATCGCTTAAGGACAATTTTACTCTTTTATTTCGCCCCGTTGGAAGCTTATATCCTGGGCTCGATTAGCTGGTCTCCCGAATGTAAAACGAGCTCGTAAGACTTTCGTCATTTAAGGACCAGCTATGCTCCTCCTCAATATGGTTGCGTCTGATCGCCAGCAGTCAACAGAAACTCCAAGAGGCACTTACTCTGCTTAATTTTGTTTCCCTTTGTAAACGGCTCCTTAATGTAAGTCGATGGGACAAAAGCAGCGTAAAGGAAATAATTAACGAATATAATAATTGAATTCCTGATATTTCATCAGTAATTAGAACGAACAGAGTGAGACAGTTTAATAGGACTGGTACTGAGCGCAGTAAATGTCTTGTTCTTTTAGCATTATGTCGAAAAGCAATGCTACATCATTTTGTTTTCTGAACGTTATTCCACAACGTTAAGAAAGTGCCGCACGCTCACACATACACAGACACCAACAGACACGCTGATTGTCAAGTTGCATTATTCCGGTATTATGTCCAACGTGTACGCCTAAACTTCAAGATCTTAAAAGTTTTATGTGGAACCTCATTTGATAAGGTGTAGGCCTATATCTAACAAAA